TTTTTTTTTTGCAACTTGAAGTTGGGTTTTTATATTCTATATATATACTTGAATAAGTGGTGCTGGGATGGATTCTTCATTTCGAATAAAACCATATTGACATTTTCAGCTTAATTGACAAAGGATAGGGAATCTGTCATTTTTACATAAAAGATCTAGTGCCACAACAAAGCAAGATTGTAAATTGTAATGTTAACAAATGTCCAAGCAGATGTTGGATTAATTTCTCGTGGTCACTAAATTTCATTCACTATAATCATAAAATCACGAAATTATTTTAGTCACATTAGAATAACTTAATTTTACACACCATAACAGTAAACTTACAATATACTACACGTCACGCTAAATTAACTGAAATTTACATATTATAACAATAGTAAAGACACAAAACTATACTTACTCAGAGACGGATCCAGGATTTATGCTCTATCGGTTCAACTTTTAAAGTTTTTAGCATCGAACTCATTATATTTTTAAAGTTATGGGTTCATATTTACTATATTTGCAATTTTAATGAATTTTTACACATAAATTTTTACTCCGCTTCAAAAGTTATGGTATCAATTGAACCGTCCCTAACTTACTACATCCGCCCCTGTACTTACTATACTAGTTAAAGTTACCTTGATAGGTAAGTTTCGTAGCTATGGTGGATAATGTTCAATTACTTTTATGTGACAAAAAATAATTTCGTGACTTAACTATTATAATGAATAAAATTTAATGACCATACATGAAAATATTAACTCATCAGGTATTAGTAGGTTCCAGAACCTAATTTCCTTGGATAATGTATATTTTCTTTAGTTCATATTGGGGTTTGGGCTGTTCAAATTTCTTAGGTCACTGTCCCAAATCATAAGAAGGTGCATAGAAAATGAGCTTTTCAACTTTCTTGGAAAACTTTTCAAAAGTTGATACTCAAATATACATCAAGCTACTGATAATTAGATTCCTTATCATCCTTGATTCTTCTGTGTACTACTAAAAAATTTAAAAATTAGCTACAAATCGCTCGTAGTTAACAGAACATTTCGATAGTCTATCGCTAATCTGTCGTTAAATAGAATTAACGACGATTTTTTTTTATTTAGCTACATAATTTGTGTTTTTTTACATGGATTAAATTAAGGACCTGCCTTGCATGGTTATCTCTCTCATTTCTTTGTCAAAAAATCTTTGAAAGGCATCCTGTGATTATTCTCCTATAGTCCCAAATATGGTCCCTTCTTGCAATTTGAGCTTGGTGCCTAACCTTACCTTTTCCACTTCTAGTGTCCAAGTGTGAATTTCTATCTTTCTGGGGATTCTTCCAACTCAAAGGCTAAGATTGCTCTTGCATGAGAAAAGAAATATATTACTACTAGAATTCCTTATGATTGCAAAATAAGGAAAGGAACTACTTTTGATTTTCTTTAAATATAATATTAGGTGTGCGAATAAAGTTCATCAGTGAAAATTGATTAAAAAAAAGTTGCATATATACGGTACTATATGATCTTAATAGTATGTTTTTCCAAAAAATCATATAAACGACTTAGCTCAAAGCGGACAAATCAAAGTTAAAAGTATCTATTGGTTGGTTTAGCAACAAGCATAAGTAATCTTCCTTTGAAGGGACTGTCCGTTGAAGTGGAATAGAATTTGCCTCATATCCTTTTGCTTATAGTCAAAGGATGTGATTCCCTCACCAAGATGTGTTATGCAAGAAGAAATCTTTAAGAATTTTCAACAAGCTCCAAGAATTACATAAAAAATGTTTTATCTATTTTGCGCCAAAGATAGGGGATTAAAAAAGTGCAGAATTTTCCAGCCTGTAATGAACAACAACAATGTAAAATCATATCCATAACCCAGGGAACATGGAGATGCTGGCATTTTTTTGAAAAGGAATGAAAGCCATTTGACATATGCTCATGGTAAAGAGAAGATTCAGTAGAATCATCTTTTCTTATAGGATTTGGATGTTCTTTTCTTCAATTCTTTTTCTCTTCTAATTTGAAGATGATGGACAATACTTTTATTAATTTCTTGGTCATAGGTGGGGAAATAGATTTTTTTTTTTTATAAAAAATTCATTCATATTATTCACTAAAGATGAATTGGATAATGAACTTTTTATAAACGGGTCAAATATGGATAAGAACCATATTATCTACTTAGAAAATAGAGAACCAATGGATAACTAATGGGTTTAACTTTTACATTTATAAAGACTCAAATTTGAAGTTCCTCAAGTTTGGGAGACTAGCGATTCTCCTAAAAATGATCATATTCAAGAAGACATAGGATAATATGGATATCCATATTATGCGGTTAACCGTTGTTTATCCGTATTATATGCGGGTCGGGTCGGATCATTTATCCGTTTTACATTATTTGTTTTCGACCCGCCCGTTTGTCACCCTTAGTCGTAGGGTTCGAACTCCTGACCTCTAAATTCTGATTAAGGCTGGGAAAATCCAAATCATCCCACCACGACCCTTGCCGGTAAAATCCATGCAATCTTATAAAGTAAAGAGAATATAATGCAAATCCAGAATCAGGCAAGTGCATAAATGAGATAACACAAAACAAATATGATACACATTTGAGTTATTTAACCACAAAACATAAAGCCTTTCTACGTTCCCAGATGACCTAAGAACTCAATATATAAAAGATGTGGATGCACCTAAAAGTTAGAATGAGCAAAGCTCTTCTTCAAAATGCACTGCCTGCGTCTCCTGGCTGATATGATTTCTTCAAATAGAGAGGATGTCAAATTCATGGGGCATAAAATCCTCGCTCGGCCTATAATACTTATCTGGGGAATACAGGCTCAGGTTTGTCACTTGACTGGTATAAAGGCACGCGAACCTCTCCACCTGCGAATCAACAAAATGCAACTTCAGTTCTCAAGTAAAGATCATGCTCACAAAGTAAAGAGAACTTCACAAACCCACCAAGTGCAGGATACTACCCAAGTATTTAATCGTACCTGATGTGCGAAGCGAGAATTCTGATAGCCAGTCTTCATGAGTTGTCCCCAGACCATGTGGAACTGCAAAATGTTTGATGACTTTATAAATAAATAAATAAAAAGGATAATATTTCTCTTTTTTGAATTAAATCGATTTATTAATACCAAACCTAGGCATTGCCAAATACAACAGAAGTAGAAAGTATTAATACGTATTACTACATATTATTTAAAAGATTTTTCACTAAAGTTTTCTCCAGACAAGGATGAACTGTTATCTAAAGAAATAATCCCACGTTTAAAAGAACTTAGGTCTCTTTAACAATCATACCTTTTGGTGACATTCTCGTTGTGCCTGCTGATGACTGAGCCTGACCTCCTCGCTTTGAGACTAAAATGATTCCATTAAACCCAGATTAATTAAAACCCATTACAGATATCAAGGTAGGGAAATTGACCAGATACAGCACTGTTTCTGTTAGTGGGTTAAAATTTATCTTCCTATATCTTGAAATAACTAACCTTCAGCTTGTCAAGCTCGGACAACATCTTCTCCTTGCTGATATCATCAGTATCTTCAGACCTGAAGCATATGACAGCTCATGAAATGATTCAAGACAAGCGGAAAATTAAAAATGAGCTGATTTCTGATGATACAAAAGTTTTATTCACACAATTGAAAGAGTATCCTGTGTCAAAATGGTTCCATGACCGGATGATATTCGGTCAAGATGCACATAAAAAAGGCTTCTTATTTCTCAACTTAAAGGAAACTTGTCGCTGCTCAGTCATAATACTACACACTGGAATAAGTCTCAAAGAGGCTGAAAGAAATGTTCTCGCAAACAAAGGAGAATGTTCTCGCAAATTAAGGATTTCCTTCTTCTCTGTCATTCTCCGATCACCTTCAATCAATCAATCAACTAAACCTCAATCCTAAACTAGTTGAAGTCGGTTTTATGAATTCTCCAACCACCTTGATTTTGTTTCTTTATTTCCTCTTTTTTTTTTCTCCTCGTACTTTCTTAGCGGAGGGACTTGAGGTGAAAAAGATCACACAGATAAAAAGCAACACCAAAAATCATGCAAGTATGAGTTCTACAATGCAAAATGAACAGAGGGAAAGATTACTTGAGAGACCACTTAAGATGGTGTATTTCATCTTCAATGTGATCACGCTGACTCCTTAGTAACTGAAGTTGCTGCAAATCATGTGAAATTGCAATTATTACATTAGCATCACCATGTAGCATAACATAAAGCAGACTTATCAGATTTAAATAAAATGCTATAAATTTACAGATAAATCATTCGCTTCATCTCTTATCTTACAAGACCATAGAGGAAAATATTTTCACATATAACTAGTGTATGGCATATGGAGAGAAGTTATTTTCTTAGATGAGAACAGAATTGCTTTTCCGTGAAATTTCCAATAAAATATATATCAAAAGATCTAATTAATAAGAAAAGAGACAAAAATTAAAGTGAGTCAGCAATCAAAGGATAAACATGAATGACAGCTAGTAAAGCTGTTGTTTAAGTGTCCAACATTGAGGAAATGGTTGTTGTCTCCTTCTATGGTCTTGGATAATCCTCACTTTATGTGCTAGCTTTTGCGATTAAGGCCCAAGGTCCATATCTTATTGTGTTTCCCATTATTGGTTCCCCATGTTATGTTGTATACACTCAAGATGTCCAATCTTGGGCGTGCGAAATGAGGTTTAAAGTGTTCCACATGCGTTAAGGGATGAGTTGTTGTTTCTTTATATACTTTTCCTCACCACATGAGCTAGCTTTTGGAGTCGAAATAGGACTGCAGTCTATTTCCTTAACAGCTGCAAGTGAGCCAGCCAAGTTGTTAGCTACTCAAGCTTAAAGTTACAATACTCATACTATTATTATTTGCTTAGATAAAATGTAAAATTGTTGGCCCGAAAATCCCATATATAAAGTATCGAAAGACCAAGTTCATTATTAGAAAAAATAGATGTGATCTAGTTGAGGTAACACTAAAATAATAAACATGAACAGGGCACCAAGTGTGGCTGCAAGTGATATAAAGCCAAAATATCAACTACTCAAGCTTAAAGTTGTGAAGATCATAACCTGACAGGCCATAACACAAGTATCATTCTATAAGGTACATACTTTTTCTACTTTACAAATAAAATATGTAATTTTAGACTTATCATACTTTTTCTACTTCACAAATAAATTGTGTAATTTTAGAATGATGGTAGCTATAAGTGCAAAACCAATGATTTCTGATGGTAGGGGTTTGAACATCAATTTTTGAAATTCAATGTTGATATGCTATTACCTCTTAGCAATATTAACAAATTACCTTTTTCAATTTTATTTGGACATGAAAATGGTCAGTCCAGAATACTGGTTTACTTAGTAAAGACATCGTAAGTTTCTATCCCAGACATGCGGTGCTATGCAAGGTCTCACTTCCATCATCCCACCCTTTTTTAAAAGTCAGAGAAAATGCTCTCACAAGCACAGCAAGTTTCTCCATTTCCGAAATCAAATTAATTGTTCTTGCTGATTATGTTCTCACGTATACAGAGCTATAAAGCATATGAAGTACAGAAAAATCTAATGAAGTACACAGAAAGAGCCGAAGGATATGTTTATCTACCTTCCGAGTGTCCCTTAGTTCCCAGAGAAGTTCAACCTCTCTCTCAAGCTCTGGAACAACAAGCATTGTTCTCCAACCTGCTCAAAGATCATAAGATTCTAAAGTCCAGAATTCAAACTTATTATAAGAGAGACAGGAAAGGTTATGGGTTTGGATATGATGATAGCCGTGACCATAGAAAACTCTAGCAGAGAGAAAATTTGGAGGACATTAATTTTCTTTCCATCCATGAGAATAGTGATTCTTGAAAATCTTGGAATTTTCTTTTAATATCATTATTAGTGCTTAAATATAGCAGCTACTCTTGTTTGAATGGTTGTTACCTATTGTATTGTATCGTATTGTTACTTTAAATACAATGTTTGTTTTGATTGTTACTTAAATTTTATTGTATCGTATTGTTAAATAAGTCCTTATGTAACAACAAAAACTACCACTTTATGTAACGACCGATTTGGTGTTGTCGCATCGTTACCTTGTTTTTTCCTCTCATCTTGCCTTCCTTATTATTAAATAATCTTGTTTTATCTTTTTACCTTACATTTTTTTATAATCATTCTACCTCGTACCTTACTTTTTCTTTGTAATATTGCAAGTTTATTCCTCATATTGTTGGTGCATGACATCATGAACGACGAAAAACAGTACAATCTATCCAAATATTATATACATTAAAAGGATACCTTACAATACAATACGATATGATACAACACATTATGAAATGATATATAACAACCATCCAAACAAGCTGCAAATGGTCACAAATAATGCAAATGGCCATCTATAATTAATTTTATCAAATCTGAAGCATACAAATATCATTTATTGTAATTATTCTACTATGGCTCGAAAATACTGGATCATCAGTTGCTTATGTAGTTTGATGAACTAGCAAGGTGTTCGGAAGCCTTATTAAAACTCATTACCATTATACCAATTTTTACATAAGAAACAGAGAATAGCAAGAAGGAGCACATGAAATGGAGAATGCATACCCAAAACTTTTTTGCTGCGTAAGATATCACCGTAAATGTGATCTCCAACATAAAGAACCTAATTGAAGAGAACAATGTGTTACATCCCAATAAGTTAATTAAATGCAAATTAAACACCATATTTAATCACCCAATTAGATCCATGACCAAGCTCATAATAACACCAAGTAAATCCACTACTCCTTCCCTCCATAACTTCCTACAAGTAAATCCTTTACTCCTTCCCTCCATAACTTCCTAGAGTGAAATTAGACTCCTGATTCTTAAGCTAAGTGCTGTCTCTTTCAGCCATATGAAGTATTTAAAGAAATGTCTTTGTGCTTGTACATTGTAAATCAGTAACCAAAAAGAACGCTGAAAGCAGTAAAATGTAGTAATCAAGAGAAGACTATATTAAATTCGCAATATACCTGTGAGCTTGACTCAATTGAGAGTAATTTATGCAAATGGCCAACATTTCCTCCCTGAGGAGAAGTTAGGAAAAATATAGTCATTTTACACAAACCATCAAATTTCAAAAACTATGCAGCACGAATTATATCTACATCCGCACCTGGTAAATTCTGCAACCTTTCTTCAAGCTCTTTAAAGGCAATCTTATAGAAGTGCTTCCCACCTAATGTATCAGACAAAGTCAGAACATGCACAAAATGGAGAAAAGGCAGTGGCTAAGAGAAAACAAAGTTTTTCTGCACTGACCTGTGCCATAGGAGTCCCATTATCAGTGTTAATAAGCATGCCACTCTCAGGCTCAACCTCAAAAAGATTTGCACGGTTTTCATCATGGAAAAAACCTGGTTTTGCACTGCATAAAAATCAAGTACCTGTTTGTCAGCAGGGTGATCAATAACTCTGCAAACAATAGATAGATAAGGAAACAGCGACAGGCATTTGCCCTACATAAGGCTGCATATGATTGGCGCCTAAAGAATCACATGGGCATATTCTAGAAAGTTTAAAGGGAAGAAAATGACCTGCCAGTGATGACTACATCAAAGTACCGAAGCCAATCATAACGGGAAGTAGACGATCCATCTGAAGGTGAAGGCCCACAGAGAAAGTTCATAACAATGTTTGTATAGTCCCACAAGCTGCACAAATATGATTAGGAACCGTATAAAACATAAAGAATGCATAAAACATCAAAAGAGAATAATATGAGTAGCTCTGGAGAAGTTATTGATGGGATTTGAAGAACCATTCAGGCAATACGGCTATTAAATAAAGACTTTAAAGAGAGCATCACCTAATGCTCCCCCCACCCCCACCCCCCCNCGTTATTGATATATCTGATGGTGGCAGCGGCAGAGAACAAGATAAACAAACTAGTCAAACAAGGAGTGCATTATGAGAATATACAAGACAATATGATAACAACACCACAGGGTTTGCATATTTCTAATTAAAGAACATAGAAGATGTTCTCAACTACTCAACACCTCCACCCATTCTCATCTCCCAAGCCTGAAATTCTTAAGGCGACAAAGCTTATACATCACTCTCTACAAAGCTTTTCTAATTTAAGTTTAAGAAACATTTCTCAACCACTTGAAACACCGAACAATGCCAAAACAATAACTCAATGATAAAGGGACGACTTAACCGAAATCAAGAAAAAACTACAACACGTATATTAAAAGCTAACCAAAAAATTGTTGGTTTTTTGGTTTTAACCCTCAGGGTTGGCCTGGTGGCAATTGACTTGAGCCTTGGGGTTTGCTCCCTTTCAAGGTCTCAAGTTCGAAACCCACTGGGTGCAAACAATTTCTGAGGGCCATCGGACTGGGTAAAACCTGAATTAACCGTGGTGCACTTGCGGGAAACTCCTTTCCGAGGGCCTGTGCATCCCCGGGAATAGTCGGGGCTCGAAGAGACTCGGAGACTCGGACACCCGGTGCAAATCAAAAAAAAATTGTTGGTTTTTTTCTAAAGGGTGTGAATAGGAAATGGAAGAGACACCTCTTGGATTGCACCTCTTCATCTCACCCTTTTATTGTCTATAAATTTAGAGGCTTGACCTCATTTTTACACATAGAAAAATCTGAAAATTTCTCCTCTCTTCTCTACATTTTTGCACTGTTTTTTCAAAACAAACATATAAGTGTCAAGTGCGATTTGTTTCGTTTGTTGAGTTCGCTGAAGTTCTATAATTTCGATTGCCAATATTACAGAATAGTTTTTCCATTCTATCCTGAGAGGAAGTAATCTATAACCTTGGGCAACAGTGAGTGAATTAAATTCCTTAAGGACACACAAGCAACTTGTGGGCTCGGAAATTATTTTATGTTTTGTTTTATCGAACTAACATTTCTTTACTTCTCTGATTGTCTGGTTTCGAACGAAGGGATACTAACAAAATTCAAATTGAAGAAAAAGTAATGGAATGATTGTTTATGCATGTGATAAGCAGGCGTTATCATAATGCTAGGCTCTCTCTATACCCAACAAACTTCAAAGTCGGATCTATAATATCCGCCAAGCTAGCCATCGTAGGACCATGTGCAAAGATATCTTATGGTCAATCCTAGGCTCACTAGAGAGAGAGAGAGAGAGAGAGACTCAGAAGCACTTGCAGCAAAGAGGGATAACAATGGCGGTAACTTCTACGAGTATTACAATGCAACAAGAAGACACACTTGCAGACATTGCCATAATAGATGGAAACAGCAGTTTCTGCACTCTGGATTTGGCTATTTCTCCAACCAATTTCTCCTAAGAAGCCAATTCTAATTTCGATCTTAAGATTTGAAGTCAGACTACAGATGGTTCATAGATAAACCCGCAGCAAAGGAGCTACTAAACTAGATCTGCACATTAGATGTCAGATTTAAAAATATTACGATCAGCTCTTTGATCAATCAGAGGTGAAAATGGGTGAGATGTCAAACATTCCAGTATATCGGTTCTGAGTCAGTTTTGGATCTTCTTGATTTTAAGTCCCCTCTTTTCTCCGTTTACCTTTATCCTTTTACTGTTTTAGAAAAGCACTGAGGCTACACTCCATAAGAAAATGACAGGAACTACTGATGATTTCTAGATTTCGTGAAATATGGTATGCTACAGTTATCTTACTTTTTTCTACTGCCCTACACGCACCACACACCTACAACTGGCCTTTAGCTTTTCACAGAGAAGCGAGAGATTACTTCCAGCTACCTTTTCCCCCCTAAACCTAACTAGTGAATGATAGGATAGCTTTGGATAATTTATAATTCTTATAAGAACGGCAACGACACATCGCCAATCTTCTCCAATCACCTATATTTTAATACTGAAACATCTTTTTTATTGCAAGTGAGAAGAAAAACACAAGACAAGTAAATGATTCTGGAAAAAGTGTTGGTGTACATTTGATCAGAGATTGAAAGAGCGAAGCCAAAGGCTTCTGAACTGAGTGCATGATGGTTGAAGTTTTCCTCTCACTCCTCGTTCAGAATATTAAAATTGTTAATATCCTTTCCTTTTCAATAAAATCCTTGTTTTCCTCACACAAGTGCATATGCAACAACTAAGAGGGAAAAATTTAATTTTAAGGCCAACACCCTAGGATCAAGCATGTCTTCTTTCCTAAGGTCCACCAAATCTTACCTTCACCGGCTATGAAAGAACTCCTAATTACTACTCAATATGGTACATTCTCCAGAAGCAACAAAACAGTTGCCCGTACCTTTTTGGATCTTTTGCAACCATCTGCTTCAAAGTCCCATCACGGTGGCACAAATCAACTGCTGCTCTAACATCCTTGTACATGCGAGAGTAGCTGCAAGAAGTGTTAGCAAATAAGCAGACCATGTAGAGTATTGAAGGAAGAATTGCTGTTAATAAAGCAGCGACAGTGAAAACACA